TTCTGCTGAATCCACATCAAAACAAGTATGTGGATGGTAAAGCAAGGAAATGTATTTCAACTATTTCCCACAGTTTAGAATGTCTGTTAGGTGAAACAGTCCTTTGCCAAACTTTCTTTTATATTGCGTGAATTTGGATCATGCTAGCGTGTCACTTCGAAGCTCTATGAGAATTTGTAGTGACCTGGAGATTCCCCCGTACGACTGTGCAAACTACTCTAAAATATATGAAAATTACAACTTTCTTATGTATTAGGGAATTAGGCTGTTTGCCTGTTGGAACGTTGTTCCCGTTTGTTGGAAACACGAACACGATCTCCGCCTTTGGCGCGCGAATCGACTGTGAACGACGCTCCGTCTACTCTCTCGACGCAAACTACATTCTCCCTAGTTAACTCTCTTCTGGTGCCCTATTTTTAGTTAACTCTCCTCCCGTCCAATAAACTTTTACCTATTTTACTTTTGTGTGTTCTGCCCATTGCTTTTGGTTGGCCATCTAGTCTCGTACCGGATATATAGCGCACGATCATCGCGCTATAAATTTCCCGGATTTCAACTCCACCATCGCAGGGATGTAAATCAAATGTGTCGAAAACCCAAATCGGAATTTCCAGGACAATCAGGTCATAAAACCTGTCGTTCATTTCTTTTCGGAGTTGTTATAAATAACTGGCATAAACACTGAAATCTTCAGCCTTCAGCTCCTCCCTGACTGTACCGAGAAATTGGAACTGTGAAAATTCCCGACGTACTATTCTTTGAGTATACACTTCCAGTTTCTAGAGAAAAGCAATAATGGTTATTTTGACCGAGATGAGATTACTCAACTTGCTCTGAATAGTATTATTTAAGAAGTTGAGTTTTTCAAAAATATCAACCAGATAAAACAGGTATGGCTTAGCTGTTAATAGTTTTCTTTCACAATCAGTTCCAGGAAGAAATGTGATGACGGTGTTCCAGAGTGTAACAAAACGGCGTAGGCAGTTGCTGTTGGAGAACTGCTCCGGATGCAACAGCAGAACATGGACACCTCCACTGTTCTCCTCACACAGCTGCTGGGGAAAACGACTATGAAGAGGGCGCGATTTGGTCTTGTTGACTACCATCATAACATTCGACATTGAAACGTTTAAGCACCCTTGCAAGTTCTTAGCCACTAGGTGCTCTCGATGAATCACATTGAATTGTATGAACAGAAGGGAGATGGGTAGTAAAACCTTTATGTCTTCCGACCATTGCAGCAGCACTACATGTTGCACATACAACTATGTTCTGTGTTGGAATGGAGTTTTCAGTCAGATAGCCATTGACTACCTCACATTTAGACTGGCCCTTTGTGTGAGTATTAATTCTCCAGGAAATCAGAATCGATTCCACTAATGCATTATCCTTGAAGAATCGGACATATGCCAAGAAAAGCTCGTCGTTGTCAGGTAAAGTAGATTCATCTATCTGTAACGATAATTTTCTGGACTGTAGTAAAGCAACTAAGGTACCTACTGTCTTGAGCCACCTAATCTATTCGCCTACATACAGTCGAATTGCAGGGCGGAATGGCATGAACCGCTATGTGGATTCATATCTACCAGGTCAAACAGTATCATTGATACTGAAGGCAAGATCCTATTTTCTCCAACATTATTGGACTGCAAATTTTGACAATCAACTTGCTGATTTTACAAGATGCCGTAAGTCGGTTCGCCACTTTTTGCCGTTAGAAACCGTTGTCTTTAAAATTGGTCTGTTTTCGAAACCATCCCTCAACTTTCTGGAAAAGTCCACAAACCTTCCTCTTTATGACCACTTGCTCAATGATTTTGCAGTTTACTAGGTCGCATACTTTCATCTGAGTGTTTTGAAAATAAAACATATAGGTAAAGTGGGATTTTGAGGCAATGCGATAAAACCAAATGAGAGGTATTCCAATGAGTAATGCCATTTCCTTGCCGAGGTGCTCATTTTGCCCCGCAAATCAATATGCTCAGCCTATCTGGAGATTTCTCCGCTATTGATTCTCCCAACACGATCAATGACTTTCTATTGACTCTTTATATTATCTTGAATGAGGAAACCCGGTTACTTTGACTCTTATATTATGATTAACCACTCGAGTTTACTCGTCATGCTTATGCTCAAGCTTGCTAGGCCAACACTGTCTTGCTCTCTGGGTGATAACCCAGCCAAGTCTACGGCAGACACGGCGAGGGCCTCACTGGTCTAACTACGCGTGACAGCCAATCAGCTGTCCGGCCTGTCTATCCTGTTACATTCAATCGATCATATCAACTGCGCCATTGGTGTTTTGTGTTTTCCTGCCTCAGGCTAACTTCTGGTCACCCAGCGTACGTGTATGCGTCTAGTCAACCAGTTTATGACGTGCATGGTTTTGAAGCGGTGCTTGCGATTACGCCCATCCACTTGCTTGTATTTGTTGTGATGGAGGACATCGTTTGCGGTTTGTCATATTTTGAGGTTTAATGTATCTAAATAGCACCGTACCCAACCGGAGTTTGAATTTTGTCGTACTCCGGAGATCTTGGGTCAGTTCCGGCCCGTGAATTTGTTTTCGGTGATGTGATTGCTTCCGGCGCTTGTTGAATTTGGTTGACCGGAGACTACGCGTTCTGCTCAAGATTCCTAAGTGTTTTGACGATGACACTCATTACTGATATATATATATATATATATATATATATATATATATATGTATATATATCGCCCTTGTGTTATGTTTCTGACGAAGCTGCCATGGGTATTAAATAACGTCATTCGACAAGGCGAAGCACGTATTTAGTATGAAGATTTGTAACACTAAATTTATTCTTGTTTAACCGTGAGATTTTAAGACAGGACATTTGGTAGCACTACTTGTATCATCTGTTTGTGACGAAAAGCTTAAAATGTGAAAGTGGAGGAACACTGTTAGGGGCAACCCAAAAGTCGTTTCTGAGGATGAGTTTGAAAATAACCTGGATAGATAAAAGGACTGAAGATAACTTGACAAAGTCAATAAAGAAAATAAATAGGACTAAGAAAATGACAATGCACACTGGACACACAGGAAAGTTGTAGCAAACGGTGACAAGTAAAATGAAGGAGGAGGAAAATGCCGGACAGTTTAAGAAACCTGCATGGGAGAGTCAACAAATAGCTAAAGACGTATATGGGCTATTGCCAAACGTGGCGCCCAATGAGTGCCGGTAAGGCGTTTGATTAATAGTAGTATTGGAAGTATCCTTGTGTATACATTATGTTATATGTACTCACTAAAGAAACTGGATGTTCACATGTATGATGTAAGTTGAAAAACTGCCCGGTAAGTCGAAAAAAGCATAGTTAAACTGAATGTTAGGAAAGTGTCATAACGCATCAATAACTACTTCGACTATTAGTAAGAACGAACGAACTTTCTTCAGAAATATTACGCCACGCGCGCAGAGTAGCCACTCGAAATCGGAACGTTGCGAGCTAACGTGACCTAGCCACCAGACGTACACGTGAGCTGAAACTGGAGCCGCAAAACGCGCAACCTCACGCTAATTCACTGAGACTCCACGAAAAAAGACAGACCGTGTGCATTTGTGCGGTATCTGCCGACGACGACGAGAGTTCACTAGGATCATTGCAGCTTGCACAGTCGATGCATCAATGTCCAAAGTAAGACTCAGTTAGTTCACTGTGTCAGCAACGTAACAGAAAGACTACCCACTACGGCTTTTATACCTACGTAAACCGCCAGTTGTGCGCGTGTATTTCTTTTCACTGACTGGTAGTTGCCGGAGTAGATAAGTGCGCAAGGAGAAAGCATCAGAATATTTTAATAAAGTTCGTTATTTGTGTTCACACAACCCACTTTTCCCGGCATGGACCCTATGGACCCCTGAAAACTTTTTCTCATCATAGGGCTCCTAGGGAATTCACTATGGCCTCCAGGAATCCATATGGCCCCGTTGAGAATAGCTGTTCTAGGGTACCAGTTTGAGAACCCAACATTTTCGAAGTTAACGATACTGCCTCCAGTACCCGCTACAAACATAAATTTGTATGCGGAGATTTCAATTTACCACGAGTTGGCTGGGGGACACCCACACCAACGACGATCCCGGGACGATAATTTATAGCATAAAATGAATAGTTGTATAGAGGCTTCAAGTGGAACGGCGACTTGATTCAGCATGAACATCAACAACAGCTATCAGTGATATTTTATATTACTGATAGAATCCGAGTAGCTCGAAAACAACAAACTGTATAACTTCACCTTCAGCACAATCCCCTCGGGTTTAATGCGGGTTTCCGTCATTCTTTACCACGCTCCGATGCACTGCTGGAAGCATTCTTCCACGATGCTCCTTAATACCAGCGTCGCTTAGAGCAATACCAATTGAGTATGAGGGCTGTTCTATTATAGTAATTTTTTCTCGGTCAGTAATGTCCGGGTGCCCGGAGCGTTATGAGCTGGAGTATAGTCATGAAGAAGCATCCACGATTTGCTATCATAGTTATCGTCTGTTAAATCGCACTCAGCGAAGCAAACGTTTCAATAATAATGCAACAATAATTGGCATAAGTGCGACATAGTCAATAGTCAGGTTTGAAGTGCATGTGACCCAGATGCAGTAAACGAAAGTTCATTATCTAATACGAAAAAGGAAATAACCCAGTGCCAAACATATCAGGCGACAATTAACATGTGCTCAACATTTACAGATCACACAGTGAGGCTAGGGAGGGAATAGTAACAGTCACTTCACAGTGGGAAATGAAGGGCCAGGTATCAGGGA